AGGCCATCGGTCCCCGTCGCTGGCAGCAGTGGCTGTTCCTGTGCCGGAGGCAAGCGGCCCGTGGCTCTTCCCACCGCGGGTCACCACCTCCCCTTACGGTGGGACAAGGATGGCAGGACCAGGGAGCAGAGCGGCATCGGGAGCCTGCCGGGGTTTTGCAGTGCAGCGAGCTCGGTAATGCACCCATCGACTTGGGACGATGACTTGGGACCATTCAGGAAAGCCCGTGCTGCTGCTGCGGCCAGCCTGCTGGCAGATGTCAGCAGCGGGAGTCACTGTCACTGCTGTTAACGCCAGCTGCACCCTTTTGCATTACGCTTACCAGAAGCAGAGCTGTGCGAGCACGACCCAAACAACCCCGAGGAGTTCGAAACGGGACACAGACCGACCTTTCGGCTGCTCTGGACAAACCCAGTGTGTCCTTACCCACCCTTGCCTGGGCACAGGGCATGTCAAAGCCACGGCGTGGCACTACCAACCCAGACAGCAGGAGCCAGAAGAGTGTCAACAAACAAGGAGGTGATCAAAACCTCTAGTCTGGAAAGGCTGAGGTTCGTCTTCGCCGCTAGAAAACAGGACCTCAGGGCCTGCAGAAGGACGGGGCTGTGGCAGCCTGGGCCAGGTTTTGGTTTGGGAAGACTGACACACAGAAACTCAGGCTCGCTCGTGCTTCAGGCTGGGGAGAGGGGATGACACGAGCTCTGCCTGCCAAGGAATGAGGGGTGCAGGACAGGGCTGCGTCTGTTTTCTCACAGAGATCCTCGGAGAGATGACACTAGAGAAATGCAAAGCAGGGCCGGCTGGCTACGGGCAAGGAGGGAGCTTTAGATGTGCCGCAGAAGGTGCTCTCCACAACCCTTCAGCCCAAGGGCCCTGAGCAGAGCGCAGCCCAAAGCCCCTGGAGCCACACACCCTGTTCTGCTACGGGATATTCCCAGAAGAGCAGTGGGCGCAGGCTGCCAAGAAGTGGGACGTGAGCTGGTTGCCTGTCACCAGAGGGGATGGAGAGGCACAAAGCTGGGGCTAGTCACCAGTCAGTCTCAGGCAGGAGCCGCATTTTAACGTCTCGCAGCAGCAGCAAGCAGCTGAGGGTATGCCTGGCTACGAAAGAGGGGGAAGTGCGCGCCCGAGCCAGGCGCCATGAGTAGTTCGGCAGTGGGCTGAAGGGGTTTCGCTTTCTTTCTCATCAGCACCACGCAGCACTAGTGACAGGCCAAGACACTGGCATGACCGAGCCTGCACCTAACCCGGCTGGCTCCTCTTGCTGGGACTGACCTCAAGAAAACCCCCAGGCTCCTGCTCATTTCTGAGCTGGAACAGCTTAGCTGGTGGCTTCCGTGTGAACCCCTGAGCACCTCTGGCTCCCGCCCAGGGATCTTCGGATCCTTCCTCTCACTCTGCCTCCATGGCAACTGGAAACTATAGCCAGAGAGCCTCAGAGCTGTCCTGAGAGGGAGGGCTGAACCACTGGAGAAGTGTGAGCCCCAGCTCGGTCCGCAAGAGACCCACAAGAACAAGCAGGCACTGACCTGTCTGGCTGTGCAGGAGAAGGTTTCGGGTTCCGGCCCCTCTGTCGCTTTCGCTTGCGTGCAGAGACTTCTCCTGGTTGCCTTCCTGTAGCGAGAGCCTACCAGGAGAGGAAAAGGTGAGATGCTCTCGCTCATCGCCAAGGCACAGGTCGCTCCCCTGCGTACTGTACCGTCTCAGCAGTATATAGATGATCTTTTGAGACCGACCAGACCATGCCAACAAAAGACCAAGTTCGGCAGCAGCCAGAAAAGGAACCTACTGTTGCGCACCCCATCTTCAGGGGGAGCAGACAAACTAATCCAGGCTGTGCCCCATAGTCAGCTGTACAAAACAGCACCTATGGGGAGCTGCACCAGCCCTCTCCTCACCCTCCGGCTGCTGGAGCACAGCTCCTCCACCACGCTTTGAGGCCATGCTTTACTTGCAAACTTGCTCCGTTATCCCCCAGCAGTCTGAGGTTTTGGCAGGACACATGCCTGCAATTAGCCTCTCCAGCGAGTGGACTCCTGCAGCAGGACTTTCACGGGACATTTGTGGCTCAAGCACTGCCTTGAGCGGCAGAGCAGGAACCCAGCCAGGCCAGGAGTCCCTGCGATGGCTGATGTCTCACCTCTGCCGGGTGACATGTTCTCCCGTTTGACTGGAGGAGAGGTCGGCCTGTCTTTGTCTGCTGGCTTGTATCTCTTCCTGCTTCCTTTGTTGTCTGCCTAAAATGGAATTAAAACAGACAACGGAGCTGAGCAGCCACTTCCCTCTGGGGAGGGAAGCAGGCAGAGATATTTCCTGTGACGGGTGCCCATGATGCGCTGGCTGGCTGGCTCATGCGAGCGCATCTCCCATTAAACTCTTTGTGAATACCAGTCCCAACCACCACTAGCACCACGTAATTCCCCTACCATCATCAGCAATCAGCAATGTTCTCTGGGACTGGGGCTAACGTGTTTCCCAGGCTATTTTCATAATTGCCAGAAAGAGGAAAATCGCAGCATTTTATAGAGCTTTTTTTCAGCAGCACCAAGGAGAGCAAATGTCAAGGAGGCACGTGGAGCCATGCCTTCTTCCAGGACCTGACCATGCCAGCCGGTAGTTATGTGTAATCGCACGCTCCTCCCCGCGGAGCATGCTTCGCAGACTCGATAAAGGCACCTCACGTCACAGCACAGGGAAGCAGAGGCAACTGCGGCCTCAGACTGCAACGGGGAATTTGGACTGCCAGAAGAAAACAGGAACGCTTCAAAAACAGGAACCTGCCCACATGACTGGAGCCAACACCCTGCTCCAGCACAAAACCACACAAGGCCAAACTCTCGCAGATGATCTGGATTGCTGCCTCTGCCAACGGTGCTGAGCTGGGGCATCAGCCTCAGTCGTAATGGGGAAAGAGGCAGGCTCCCTGCGGAAAGCACGGCTAGTAGTGGGCACCCGAGAGAGGCAAGTTCCTGAGTTAATGAAGTTAATGGCTCGTCAGCAGTTCACCCCAGAGCGGGCAGTGGGAAGAGAGCTTGCTCAGAAGCGTGTGGGGAGCATGCTTTCAGTGGGCCAGGCCCCAGTACACGTGTGACTGTGCCACGCACACCTTTGCCTCGGTGCTCCAGCTGCAGCCTTCGAGAAAGCGGGGAAGAGCCCTTGAAGCCGTGGCAGGAATGTGCCCCAGGGGAGCCGCCAACACAGTCCCAAACTCCAGCCACCACAGGGTGTGTGCTGCCAGACTGGTTCTGTCCGCCGCCCTTCAATCCCAGCTGCAGACCTACCCGGCTGAGCTCATCCCGACATCGCGGAGCCCGGAGCTCCCCTTCCACCGGCCCCGAGCCCCAGCATCCGTCCCATCCGCTCCTCCGACCCCTCCGTGGAGGAATCCCTCGCCTGAATTAAGGGCGTCGGTTTGATGTCTTGGTGGGCGCTGAAGCCCCCTTGCTGCGACTGGGGGTCTGAGGGCTGCTGCGTCTGGAGGAGCTGCTGTGATCTGCTCCCCGGGGTGGGCCTAGTCGACTTCAGAAGCTGAGCGGGCACATCCCATTTCTCCTTTTCCTCTTTAGTGCTATCTTCTTTTTTTGACTTTCCTGTTGAAACCAGAGAGCAGAGGTAGCGATTCGCGACAAACTCCCTTCACCTGCCGTACTTTTGGAGGGCAGGGCGAAAGGATGCTGCTCCAGGGGCTGAAAAAGCCCACACCAGTTAGCACAGCGCATAGCCCCAAGGTTAAAAGATTCAGGAAAACAGAATTTCCACTATGAGAACGCTTAACATAAAAGACAAGCAACAAAAGGCTCTTGCTGTCAACCCTGCTATGGTCTGAAAAGAACAGAGGAAGAGCGACATGATACTGGAGTCGTCCAGAAGTTCTGGCATCACCTCACAAGTGTGAAAGAGAACAAGGTAAGCGAGCAGGCATCAGGCAGAAGTCCCAGGCAGGAGCAGGCAACTTTACAGCCAGAGACACAGGGGTGGAAGGATGTGAATGTATATTTGCTCCATAGCCTCCCTTCTCCACGGTCTCACCCTCCCCAGGCGAAGCCTCTGAGCTCCTCTAATCTACAACTGCCTCTGCTCAACAATTTTCCTGGAGCCCACAGCACCACCAAGCAAGCCGCATTCAGATCTCTACTCCTCTGTTCTTTTCCCAGGACCCCTTGGAGAAGAAAACACCAAACCAGGTACCTCTACCTTTCTTCTGCTGCGCTGGAGTTGGGGATCGGGAGCTGGCTGAGGAAACAGGACTGGCCAAGTCCACACACATGTCTTCAGAGTTGGCACTGCATACAGGGCTGCTGCTAGAGGAGGCACTAGAGACAGAAGAAACACTGCTCATGCTCAGGAACGTGGAAAGAGCCAACAGCCTGTTACAGTCACGAATGCAACAAGAACCAGGCAGCGATGAGACAGACACCTTTGTTTTAATTCTCCTGAGTGGCTGGGATGTCAGAAAGCTGCTAAGACAGGCAATAACCAGGAAGAGATAAAGGCTGTGTCTCCTGAGTTGCAGACAATATGAAAAATCCCAAACATGTTAGATGCAAGTCTAGAAAGTACTGTTTATTTATAAACAGGATTAAGGCAACACGTAAATGGGCCACTGTTTCCTCAGGTAAACAAAAAGTGAAAGCAGGACGTGTGCTATCATGTACAGGCCAGTGTTACGGCTCAGCTCAGGGGTTCCCTGGCAATGCTTTTGCCGCTTGGCACACGTATATTCATGGAGCAAATGCTTCCTATCAAGAAAAATTGCTAACTGTGTAACACAGTGGGACTACCTTGTATTTCAGGCTATACAAATAAGCACACATATTTTTGTGATTAGCATGCCTGTACTAACATAAATAGAGCTGTTTTGTCATTTGCACCGCAGGGAGAGCATAGGGAAGTGGGGTTTGTGTGGGTATAAGCATGAAAAAACCAACCCCAAGACTAGAATATAGAATAAGGGAAGGTGACTAAAGACATCCAAGATTTAACTAGTTAAAGCAAGTGAAAAGGAAACTAGAACTGACAGAGTTTCTAGGGAAAAGAATCTGTCACGATCAGTTCTCACATACGGAGACATAACTGCTCAGCCCAGGCCTTTTCTTTAGCTACTGGGAAGAAACAGGAGATGTAATCCCACGCACAAAATTAAGAATTGACCCGGGATGCTTCTGAAACCCCGAACACAACTCAGACTTGCAGTCGTCTTCAAAACACACTGACAAAACCCATCGTCCAGTGATCCAAGAAAACCATATAACGCCTCACAGCAGGCACAAAACATCCTCAGTCTCCTCCTGTCCTCATAAACCAGATGTTTCTAGTAAATACATTTCTTGCACGCCAAATTGTTGCCTCCACAGACAAGGCACATAGGCACTGTACTGCTGTTTCAAAACTTCTAACATCAGAAGCATGTATGATGAATTTCAGCTGTTCTTCCCTCCAAGAACAGGCAATGCTACCTGCATTTTTCCTGTAACATTTTTAAATACAGTACGATGAATTAAGCCTGATAATCATATTTAAATAGAGACAAGCGCTCCTTGTTTGAAAACTATCAGCAGGCTCTCATTTCAAATGCAAAGGGCGGAGAAAGAGACAACAAAACCAATTAGAAGACAGACAGAAAACATTTCAAACATTCAGACTAGTCACACAGGAGGAAGCCAGGAAGAGAAGGTAGACCAGGGGAGCCAGCAAGCTGTGTACCAGGGACAGCGAAAGCAGCAGAGCTTTTCCTCCTCTCCCCCAGCCGCACTGCTGGAGGCTGACAAACCGACTCCTGGGACCACACAGAGCACAACACTCCCTGCACACTGGCACATGCTTAGAGTACCCAGGGTGAAAACCCATCACCACAAACCTCGGCCCTCCAATGCATCGGATCTCCTCTCTGCACCTAACACCCCTTTGCTTCCCTGCTGTGCGGCCTCTGCAACCAGTGGCTCTCAGATACCCTTTTTTTTTTTTTTGCACTGAAGACCCTGCCTTTTGGCACTTCTCATGTATTCCACCTACTTCGTCCCCTAAGCAGCCTTCAGAGACAGGAGCCACTTGCTATGGCAAGTCACTAGCACTCACCCCAGCTCCTTCCCTCTCTCATCCCATTTCCTTCCCACCCCAGGAAACAGATTTCTCCCTTAATACTGAAGAGCCCTTGCAGTTGGTCCTTCTGAGAGAAACCCAGGATTTGCTCTGTTTTCCATGAGATCAAGCCTCACTCCACCCCACAGCTTTCTTACCTCCAGGGTGGAGTCCTTGTCTGATGTTCCTTCCTTCTCGCCTCTTAATTATCCCCGGGTTTGGCTCGCTCCGGTGCTGCTGGTGTAATTTCAGTGAGTGGCTGATGGACTGGAAGGGCAGCTAGTTTCTTCACAGCTTTTTCACTACAAAAATTAAGATATTGAGCACGATCAAAGTCAGTAGGTACCGTCCACGGACATTCTCAAAAGCAATGAAATGCACTCCTGTTTCTTGTTGACTAAATATTATGTAGATATGATCACTGTAGCTACAGACACTTGGCTATTTCACAAAAACACTCTCAAACAATATGGATTCCACTCAAGGGACCTGCTTCCCATATTCTAAATCAAGTCACCTTTTCAGAGGCAAATTACTATACAATAGCCAATTTGGGTGACATTTGACTTGTAAATTAACCAATGAAGTAGCCCGTGGAATTGCTGTTTCTTATCCATTTGATTCTGTGCATTTTTATCCAAAACACATACACCTGCTTAAAATCTGCCGGTCAGGGCTTCAGAATCAAACGCGCTCAGTTTATGCAAAAATTCTCTCGCGCTCCATCACGCGACTCAGCAGGGTGCAAAAGAGCCCGTGCGTCACCCCGCAGAACGTTTAACGGGTAACACTACCGCAGAGGCCAGCGACATGTAACGCTTTTGTGACTCCATCTAGCACCCACTAGGCGAGATGGGAATCGCTTTGGCTCCTCAACGCTGGTCAGTTCTGGACTCAGAGCACTCCAGCCTCTGCCCTAACAGCTGGTTACTCCTCAACGTCCCCATCACTGGTGTCACACCTACTGGTAACTGGGGAGGAGGCGGCTGACTGCATACAAGAATAGATACTGTTAATTCCTCCTCTTGTGATTAAGGATATCTGCTTTCCCCCCCTGCAGAACACAGGATTAAGTGCATGCAACGTTACGCAGCAAAACCAGTCCCCATGCCAGAACAGGCCACTGGCTGCTGTTGTGTGTTACCAAATCAGCACCGCAATGTGCACCAGAAGGGTGTAAAGACATCACTGCAGGTACAGAGCCTGTTCTTCAAGGGTTGAACCCTCCGAGTTGAAAAAGAGAGAAAAAAAAAAGCTCAGGTCAATAAGGTACAAGCAGTGTGGCAAAGGGGATTGTCCTGTATTCTGGAGGATTCAGGGCGATTCCCAAGGTGTAATTTATTTGCAGGTCACCTTAAAAGAGGTGACATTGGTAGGGTGTTGTGTCACCCTTCAACGTATCCATAATTTATTACACATTGCAGGAGTCTGTGAAACAGCAACTTCAAGTATTTAAAAGCACAGGACTGCTGGAATAATCTGTCAAACATTTTCATAGCTATAAAAATGTTTTAATTTGTTTCCAACGTTAAAAGCAGATGAGGCTGAACCATTTCTTAATTCTAAGGCTGTCTATTAACTAAAGCTATAGTAGAGGAATGAATGAAACTTTCTTATAGCTCCTGTATAAACAGATCTGCACATACAAAATGTTTAAATTGTACATCACATGTGTGTTTAAACACTCCTGTACACACGACAGGGGCCTCGACGTGGTGCTTAGGGACATGGTTTAGTGGTGGACCACTAAAGGTTAATGGCTGGACTTGATCTTAAGGGTCTTTTCCAACCAAAAAGACTTTATTACCTCTCCTATCTAAGGGTGATTTAACTTGAGATTTTCACTTGCCCTTACTGTAACCTGCACCTGACTGTTCAATTACCTGCTTATAACCTTCTCCCTCAGGTTTTAGTTTGCGCTTGTTTAAAAGTTCACAAAGTCTGTTGCCCTCATCAAATTACCAGTAGAACAATGCGTTTGCTCCTTTTCTCAAAGTAAGGAACCCTCTTGCTCTCAGAATTTGGGGGAGGAACGGCACCTTCCGTCTCTGGGTTCAACCAGTACCACCCCATTAGTTACATGACTGAAGCAACCACTCCCCATGCAGCTTCCTCTACCTTTTGAGATAAAAAAGGCAACCTCCAAGTTTTCTAATAATTCTACGGAGTACATTTCTTGCCACAACACCTATTCAACAGACAACCGGATAATTACAGCTCTTCGTTAGCAGCCTTTTTGCCCTTTGAAGGCTTCACTAGTCACTAAGAAGTCTCATCTCCTCCTTGCCTGGCAGTGTTAAAAGAGTCTCAGCACAGTCAGAACTCCTATGGCCTCTCACCTCTTCCCCGACTCCAGAACTTGTATACGCTGACTGTAACTGAGCTTCTGGGCTCCCCAGTTCAAGAAAGATGAGGAGCTACTGGAGAGAGTCCAGCGGAGGGCTACGAGGATGGTGAGGGGACTGGAGCATCTCCCCTACGAGGAGAGGTTGAGGGAACTGGGCTTGTTCAGCCTGAAGAAGAGCAGGCTGCGAGGGGACATTATAAAGG